CCTCTTTTTTGTACTTCGTATTTTTATTATTTTGTAGTAAAGATCGGTAATTGTTACTCAACATTTACACCACCGATGAGTGGTCAACACTTATAAAAATATGGTTAAAACTGTTTGAATTTACTATTGATTTGGTTAAACTGTTGAATTGTTTAATCTCTTGAAGGGATGAGAGTAGTATATATTTTTATAATTAATTTAATTTCTTGCCCGATATTTTTGAGAATACTCACCGACCGTGCATCACACGGGTGGTCGCAAGTCAAGGTTGTTAGATATAGTGTATTTTGAAAATAATGTGCTAACCAGATGAAATTATGGGTGAAACGTTTGAATTGGTTGAGTTGAGAAAAAGTTATGGAAACATAACACTTAAAATATATCTTATGAATAAAGTGGAGAAAAAATTAAATGGATAAGTTCTCTAGAGTAACTTAATCTAATCATCCAAAAAAAGAATTTCAACTTTACTTATTTTTACTATCACATAATTCTACGATTATAACAATAAGTAATACTCTCAATAGGTTCAGCACAGGTAAGAGATTCTATTTTCAAGATTTTCATTATCACTTTTTCAATGTTAGATTGTCATTCTGATTTAAAATACTACAACAATATTCCATAATGACATCATATGTTATGATTACAAACAAAAGTTAAGGACAATCATTACTCCATGTTGGTGTGTTATTGTAGAAACCGGATTGTCAAGTGTAACCAATATGAATAATCTTAAAATTTTGATTTCAAATGGAGGCGGTAATTCAGATCACGAAATTATGAATGCGATGCATAAAGAAGTTTTACAAAATCTCTATCATTGTTTTGATTTTAGGGTGTTGACTTTAATTGTATTTCAACAATTTTAATTATCCTTATTGTGACTTTTGTCCGTTGGTTTAGGATGTTTTTATTTGGACTGTTTTCAGTCTCAGATCAGACCAGATTAGACCGGACTCAAACAGACCAGATCAGACCAGACTTGACTTTCGTAGTTATAAAATGGACAGAGATCAGACGTTTACTAGACCAGACCAGACCATACTTAAACAGACCGGACCAGACCAGTAAATTACAGTCCAAGTAAAAACATCCTTATTATGTAGTATGTTATTTAATGTTTAAATTAGGGTTCGAACCAATATCGCATCTCAATCCACTCATTATATATGCGTAGTATAATATATGTTCATATAATTATTTTTTTGATCGATTTTTTGAGAATATTCTCCGACCATGCATCGCATGACTAGTATATATAGTGTGAGGGACAGATGGAGACCTGCAACGGGGATTTCAACGGCGAACTCCGTATAGCAAAAGGCGGAAAGCAAAGCAGAGAGACCGGAGACGGCGTAGGAGAGGACGACGGCGGGGCCGGCATCTTCCCGAGCCTCGAGGCCGGTGAGGACGAATATTCCGGCGCCGATGAGGACTCCCATCCCGAACCACAGCAGGTCCCACCAGGAGAGAGTCTTCTTCATCTGGTGGTTGCTCCGGGAGGCGGCGGCCAGCTCTGCGCCGTCGTGGGAGCGGGTGAATACCCGTTCCGCAAAGCGGGAGGGAGTTTGCTTGAGCGCATTGACGTAATTGCCCCAGGACCTGAAGGATTCCTCGGGGAGGAAGTCGTCCTTTGTGCACAAACGCCACAGCCTTCTCCTTCTCATTCCGCCTCCATCTTCTACACCCATTCTGTCCACCACCTGCACGCACAAATGCCGCATCCAAATATCCAATCAATAACCGATCGAACACAGTATGTATAAAAGATTATATTGGCCATCATATTCATATGCATCTTCTCCATATATCACACGAATTGAAGAAATTAATGCAAGGATCGGATCGGATCGGAGAAGCAACGTAACTTAATTACCTGGTGTCGATGGCCGGCGGATGAAGAGCTATAGAATGATGTTTCGGCACCGCATATTTATACATCATCCATCCCTTTACGTGGCTGCCTGCCTATGTTCATATTGTTGGTTGCAACTCTTCTACCATCTTTAACGTCCCTTTTAATTTTTGTAGACCACCAAATTACCCCCTAATTATTTTTCATATTCATTCATGCTGAAAATATATATACAAGTACTACGTGCTATGAGACAAGGAAATAATAATTACTTATTACCTATGTTCTTAAAAAAGTTCGCCAAATTGACTTTAATCAATGATGGTAAACTTTAGACAATCATTTTAATTATTATACTTGTTATAAATATAATTTTTTATGAAAATATTTTCAACAAGGAACAATTTGATATAATTTTTTATAATCAAAATAATTTTCCGTATTAAAAAATAAAATTGGTCAAAGTTGATGAAAGGGGTAGAGGGTGCGGGAGTCGAAGGGAAAGGGGAGAAGAGGGAAAGAAGGAAAGGGCGGAAGAAAGAAGCTGTTGAATAAAGAAGCCGGAGATAGTGGAAAAAGAAGGAAGAAAAGAAAAATAAAATCGATTCCACTGAGTTAAAAATGGTTAAAAAGTTGTAAATATACACGTAAACATTAAAATAGAAAAGAAGAATATACGTAGTACATATTTGTGATGAACTTGCTTCATTTGGTGATGGCAAACTCCGCATTTTTATCCGCATTTTTATAGTTAACACAATGATTAAAAAGTCTATTATTAAAGGTTTTTTTACAAGAATATTACTAAAATAAAACTTATTTACTTAAATATAACTATTCATTACTACAACGTAGTGTTGTGGTAACTTAAGTTCAAAACTTGAACATGAATTACTATGATTTCCTTACTGCTCAAGTAATTAGTCATATTTTTGTAAACCATCTTTATTTTGGTCACATTTATGTAATTATTTCATTATTAAAACGTAAAAAGCATTGAACACAAAATATAGCGGTAAGTAATATATTAAATGTCCGTAAATAAAGAGAGATTGAGACGGCGAAGAAGATGGGCCAACATAATTGTTGAGTTTAATCCAACACTATATAGTAAATATATGTATAAATGTGTATGAACAAGCTCAGTTTTTACGTGGAAACCCGAAAGAGAGAAAACCACGGGACTTTTTAGGCTAATGTCCAAGCCCTCTCTTTCTCATTAGGACTCTCCTCACCAACCATTACAATGTACAAGCTCCCATTAATGGAGTATTTAGCTAGCTATTCTATTCTAGAGAGAAGGAGGAGAAATGGGGAAGAAGAGACCAATCCAAAAAGAATAACATGTGGGAAAGCCCCATATTTATAGGGGAAAGGGAGTAGGGAATAAGTCTACCCTAATAGATGCCAAGTAAGCATCTATTGCAGCATGTTCTATTTTATTATTGTAATAACTAGTTAAGTAGCATATTCATTATTTACGGATAGTATTAGACATTACTCCTATTATTGCATGGTCCATTCAATAATAGGAGTAATGTCTAATACGTAAATAATGAATATGCTACTTAACTAGTTATTACAATAATAAAATAGGACATGCTGCAATTAGTGCTGTTATGGAAATCGAGCTCAGCTCGAGCTCGGCTCGATTAAACTCGGGCTCGGCTCGTATATTAGAGAAAACGAGTCGAGTTCGAACTCTTTTGTTTACTCGATAAAGTTCACGAGCCGAGCTGGCTCGACTCGATAAAACCCGGTGAAGCTCGATAGGGCTCGTGAGGTGGGCATATTGTCATTTTATTACATACTCCGCATTAGGTTTAGGCGTTTAGTTTAGGCCCATTTTAATACATGGGTTTTTCGAGTTCGAGTTGTCGAGCTCGAGCTCGAGTAGCTTGACTCGGGTATATTAACGAGTCGAGCTCGAGTTGTAAATTACTTTAACGAGCCGAGTTCGAGCTCAAATACAGAATCGAAATTTAACAAGCCGAGCTCGAGCCAGGCTCGAAATTTGAGCGAGTCGAGTTCGAATGTGTGATACTCGGGCTCGGCTCGGCTCGAATAACAGCACTAGCTGCAATAGCGTCATTTTGAAAAGCTATTGAACATCCTCACCAGAGACTTCTTGAAAGCTTTGGACGAAGGTCTTCAGTCACACGTAGTGGTCACTGAGCTCCGTAGTTATGTAGAGTCAAAGAGGTATCTCAGTGAGCCAGAGGGTCGGCGTCTAACAGATCATATACGTTCAAACACTGCTTTTATACGTTTGAACACTTCTGATGTATAGAGCTGCTTCTAAGTTGTTGCAATTGAAGATTGAGGCTTTTGATAATTTTTTTCTGAACTGTTTAGGACTCGTTTATGTTTGTAATCATTTGTGTAGAACTGGGATTCAGACATGTTCGTTTATAAATACATAGCAGAAAAAGTTGTAGTATCACTATTCTTTAAGAAAAGAGAAAAGGGTCAAATAAACTCTTCTACTATTATCATTCTGTCACTTAAACCCGTGTACTTAAATAAGCATCACATAGCCATTTGTTCTCTGCAAAATCAGTCACATAAGCCAATATACCGGGAAGATGACCATTTTAACCGGTGATGATTTGCTTCTTTGTGTTTTTTTTTCTTTTTCCTTTTTTTCTTTCTCGTTTTTCTTTCTCGCCTGCTCTTCCTGCTCGCAGGTGCCCATTCTTCTTCACTATTCTTTTTCTTACTCCATATTTTTCTTTCGTTCGTTCGTTCTTTCTTATTTTCCGGCTCCCGGCCGTGCGCCCTTTAGTCTCTTTTTTTCGATCACTTCTTATATTTTATTCTTCTTTTGTTCCTGTACCTTTTTTCTAACTACGGAGTATAAAATAATGTTCAGTCCCTTGCCGATTATTAATTAATCAAATCTACAGTGATGTGTATGTTGATTACTATTGGACTCTCTTGTCTGGGCGTGGTTCTTTGTTGAGACAGTACGCATCTACCCGCCATCCACTCTGATCTTATATACTACGTATGTAGGAATGTTAACTTTAAAATTTACGATGTTACGTAGCTAATGTATACTATACAACAAGAGTCTAAATGCCTAATTGTTGAGAAAATAGTTTTAATTCATTAAACATGGTTATATGGGAAAACGAGACTTGTTGATATATATAGTATGAATAAACTCCATTATTTTAATGCTTTCAATTCAAGAAAAATACGGGGGGGGGGGGGGGGAACTGATTGAATAAGACATAATCTTCTTCTAGCTCTGGTATATATACTCCGTAGAATTTTGTGCGTGTGCTCTTCTCTTTTCCATCCGATTACTCCGAGTTCGTTTCTTTGGTCGGCCACCTCCCGCGGGAGAGAAGATTGTCCATAATCAAGAACATCCCTGTAATGTATCAAAATTAAAGGAACGTTACACGTACATTAAGGCAATGTCAACCGCGGCGGCCAAAGAAGAGCTGCCCATAATCAAGTGGACAATCTCTTTTAAAGATTCGCCACCATATCCGAGAAGAGTGACACCGTCAAGTTGAATTTGGTGGGAGTACGTAGGAACATGGGAGGCAGATGTAAAACAAATGACGAAAGAGACGAGAACAAGGAAAGGAAGAAGTGGGAGTGGGGCAGGACCAAATCACAGAAACAGTCGAAAGAGAAAAAAAATGAGGAAAAGTAAACAATAAAGGAAAATAAACAATCTACAAATGACCGGTTAAAACCGGTCATCTTCCTCTAAATTGGCCTATGTGATTGATTTTTTAGAGTACAAATGATTATATATGATGCTTATTTTAGTATATGAGTTTAAGTGATTGATTGAGAATAGTAGATGGGTCTATTTGACCCATCTTAAAAAAAAAGAATACAATAAAAAGCATCATAAAGCTTGTTAACTCCGTCTTCACCAAGAAAAAGAGAAACATTTTGTTGATCCTTGATTTGAGAGTTTTTTAGCATTGAAGATCCTTGATGAAAACAACTTTGTTTTACTTCCAATGGGAATTTGTTTGGATTAACCTCAACCTATTAAATATGGTGTCTTCTCCTAATCGGAGGCATAGCTCACCTGGTAGGAAGAGAGTGTCACAAGGGAAAGGTCCCGAGTTCAACTCCAAGCAATGACTTGGGATGGAACTCCACTGACCACTCTCTATCCATCAGATTTTGATCAAAACGCAACTTAAATCATTCCAAATAACTGTTTGATCGGTTCTAGGGGCCCTTAGGGATGATGTGTTATCCTGGTTTTGGTGTCTCCTCCTCCAATCCTTTGCTTATCCAATTAGACTGTTATGAAGAGAGCAAATTGCATGATCAGCTAATAGGCACCAGTAACAGGCTAATTTATCCACATCTGATTTTCGAAGTTACTTTGTCGCCTTTGCCCGTCCCCTTTCATTCAAATCACCTCTTGCTACAATTGAACTCACTGTCTCTGCTGGTCTCAGTCAGATAGCCTTGTTCGACTGTTGTTGCGAGCCCTATTGCGTTGGTGCAAGTCACGATCGTCTAATCCCATCTTGTGAACCTCAACGTATAATCCCACACCACATCATATCATGTGCTCCTATTTTGATATCGCTATTAAAGATCCATCTCCTATATTGTGCCAATAGTGCATTAAATTATGCCGATAATGTGGTACGATAATTAAATGAATTTTTACCACCCTTTACACTTTAAAGGTGCAACATAGAGAATCTTAAGCGACACATTCACATTTCTTACACTACTAGCGTTTACTCGCGCAAGGCGCGAGAATGTTTGCCCAACCTTATATATATATGGCATTGTGATTTAATCCTTGTGTTTAATGGCTAAGTTGAGCTGAGCAACCCCTGTAAGTTTAAAAATTCCAAGTTTTTTTTTTGTTTTTAACCACATTTGAATTGTCTGTAAAATGTCTTAAAGTAATACACGCTTGTATGTGGTCATATGTGAATGATCATTCTCAAGAAAGAAAGGTGTGATAATAATAGTAACAATGATATAAAAATCAATTTAAAAAGTGAAAACTTAGATGTTGAACTGTTGAAGCATGGGCGGTGTTCGGATGAACAGAATGTCCAAGGAGGGAGAACTGTCCAAGCTTGTTCATAAGCTTGATGATCTAGCTGTTGATACAGTTATGAACGAGCTCTTTAAGAAAAATGAGAAGTTAGGATTTCAGGTTCATAATCGTACAATATTAAGATATTGATAATGCATGTGTTGATCCATAATAGTTAAGAACTAATTGAAGCGTAAGGGTTAAAATCGTGGATTGGATCAAATTCTTTTGGTTTTCATTCCGTCAAAGTACACAAAAGGAGTTTTAACTTTTAGTTTCACGTGCTCTAATAACTTTTCTAGATATATTGACTGAAGATACGGTAGAGGATCATTTTAACTGTTTTTCATTTAATTTTTTTATTTATTTAATTAATAATATATTTTAAATTTTTTTTCCATAAATTAGCAAAATCATCTCATACACCCAATCAACCAGAACTTCATAATTTTCAGCATAATCAGCCAATGCAGCCGATTTATGTATTACCAAATGGGCTCTAAGTTAGTGCCATAAGGGAAAACGGGTATGACTCACATAATAGGAAAACTTGAATTAATATGAAATGTATCCTTTACCTTGACTTTTAGTTTAGATTTTAGCCCTCTATTTTCAAGATCCAAAGGGAATAAACTCTTGCAATGTACTGAGTATGTGCAATGGACTAATATTAGCTATCTCAACATGACTATTGATAGCATAATAGTAAGAATTAGTATCACTCTTAAAAATGAGAAGTTAACTAAGAGGTCGTTTGTAACACCGCAATTGACTAAACCCAAATAAAATGATAAACTACGTAATAGAGTATATTGATTTACCCTAACCATTCATAGAATGTTAATCAAGATAAACAAAAAAATGTAATTGTTTATCAATTTTACCTCATTATGTTCCCATGGTTATAGTCAAATCCCTCAAATTAAATATCAAATGAAACCAGCAATAAAGCTAAAAAGAAGACATTTTTTGTTAAGTTGATGACAATGTCAGGAATTAGTGAATAAGCAAATAATGCACAAAACATTTATGTTTTTTTATGTACCACTAGTAGAACACCGTGCGATGCATAATTGGAGAAATTTTCAATGGATTGTTTGGAATTATACTGTACAATAATAAAGTTTGGCGTAAAATAAAAAAATAATTTTCATTTATGTCTGCACAAAGAAATAAGTAGTATATATGTAAAATTCTAATCAAATTCAACTACCGATTTACTCCGCATTTCCCTAGGAAACACCATCGACCAAACATAAAAAAGACTAATTATTTGCCTTTTTTCTTCCTTTCCCTAAATTTTTCTGCATAAGAAGTAGTGGAGGAGTGCAGATCCTAAACACCACTACTGGATAGAGGTTTGTATAAACAAAAAACGAGTACCCAAAAAAGTGAGACTGGCCCTTGAGATGACCATTACAGGAACCACTATTCTTTCTTAATCAACTCCAACTCTGTTTCTACCATCTGAATAAGCATTTTTTTGGTTTCAATACTGCAGCAGCGATGGACAACATCAATGTTATAAGCACTTTCCTGTTTTTTGGAAACTGGACTTTCCTGTTATAAGCACAAATCGCACAATTTCTTTTAAATACCTGAACATTTCCATGTGGATCTCTTTCAAGCATCAATTGATCTTGAAGTGGTTGGGGAAGTAACTCAAAAGGCTCAAGGCATTGTGGGGTCAGTTTCTTTTTCCAAATACCTTTATCCTCTACAATATCATGAGCCAAATTTTCATTCAGTTCTCTGATAAGCTGTTGGACATGCAAAAGCAGGAAAATATCACATAGTAATGAGAAATCACATAACAAGCAAACAACATTTAATGTTTGCCTTTAGGTTGTGCCCTACCAAACAAGAAACATTTACTCACTCCTATGCTTCCTAGCTATAGTTTTTATCTTTTCTAAGATCCAAGAAAGGAGTTAAATTCATTACTAACTGCAGATCTCTGAGGGCAAGCCCAGCCTGTTTATATCATATATAAATGGTAAAGTCAAATATAAGCAGAAGGAAATTTGAGACTCAAATATAAAGTGTTTGTTTAACTAAGGAACATAATAATGCACAAGTAATTGAACCATGTTTTCAGTAGCCCCATTTCTTCTCTGTAGCATCTTCAATTCCCTGATCTGCGCTACACTCTTAAGGGTGTTATGCTATTCATATAACGTAATGCAAAGAAGATAAAAGATACTACTTAAACCTAATGTTACAAAAACACATACCCTGATAGTAATAAAGGCAGTGGGAATAATATCAATTGTTGTGGCCATAAAAACTGAACTCATTCTTCCTCAAAATGAACCTGGAAGCAGTATTATGCCTACTCTATGAAAATGGAAGAATAACGAATAAGAATAGGAATCACAAATCAAGGACTCAGCTTTGACCTTTTTGGCCAGCAAGAGAGAGTAACGAGCTACCCATTATCGCATCACATCCGTCGAATAAGCTCAAGCCGTACAACTTACACACACATAGACAAACCAGCCAAACAATTCAACTTTAATTAAGCAGAAACCAAATGTAATTACAAGAGAGTGAAAACTTACAGGAATATGCAACGAAAAGAAATCCCAAGTGTGTTCGATTCTGGTGGCAATTATGTATAGCCCAAATAGACACAATCCTTGAATTTTGAATGGGCTGTTGGGTAACGCTGTTTGCGAGCAACTCTGAAATGGAAAAGATAACGAATAGGCCCTTCAGAACCAGGTAGTGGATGTGATACAATCATGATAAGAAACAATAAGTTTAATAATAGCATTAATTGAGGGGATAGATGAAGCATCTGCTCAAGCTCTCAAACTGAATTTGTTTCTGTTTATATCTAGTCTCACCAACAAGAAAGGAGATGCGCGCTGTAAGACGTTAACGGATGTTAAAACTTTAGACGGTGTCAGAGTTAAAGAAGCCAAATGAAAAAATAAGGTACCACTTTTTAATAACAATGTACAACGTCATATGCACAAAGTGTATTGACATAAATCATGGGTACTAATTCTCACTCTCAATTATATTGTTGTTAGAAACAATTTTTTTAATGGAACACCACACCACACACGTGTGTAATTTAGATCAAATGAGAACTCAATCTAGAGCTGGAAATGAGAATGAATCAAATGCATTAAGAATTATGCATTTCTTGTAATAGAAATGTGCCCGAACATGAGTAAAAAAATGCAATAGCACTTTTGTATACTTCGTATAAAATAAACTTTTCTATGTGTGCATCATCTTAAATATGAATACACACTGATACTGACAAGAAACAAATTGTGCATTGTTTCGGAGTTCGGACTCCAATTTTATGTTGAACTACTAATATATCCCGGCAAAAATGTACACTTGGTTGAAAACACGATGACAATTGTATCTAAGTGGCCTTTTTGGTTGAGATTTATATAGTCATGGACCCGGTTTGGGCCGCCCGGCCCGGGACCGGCCCGGCCCGCTACTGTGCGGGCCCGGAACCGGCCCGGTGGGGGTGCGGGTCCGGGCTCGGGTCTTGTATTTGGCGAACCGGCCCGGTCGGTGGGGGGCCCGGGCCCGGGCCGAATTGACTTTTTTTTTTTTTTCGTTTTTTGGGGTTCCACCTGGGTTGGGCTTGATGGTTAGGAGGGGTTTGGGGGGTTTAGGGTGTTGGGGGGTGAGGGGGTTAGGAAAGCAAAAAAATATAAAAAAAAAATAACCAAACCGGAGGCCCGGCCCGGACCCGGTGGCTACCCAGGCCGGTCCCAGGCCTTCCCAAAAAAAAAAGCCCGGCTGGGCCCGGCCCGGAACCGGCCCGGGTCTATGACTAGATTTATATTTCACTCACACATAAATATATATGGAGTAATGTGGATCAAATTAAAATATGTAATGTACAACGCTTGTAAACTAAAAAACATACTGCATTTTTATAGATAAACTTGACATTTTCTTCACCTTGAACAATGCAGTCAGAAACACATGGCACCATCATGGATGAAAATGTACACTATTTTGCATCCATGAGAACAACCTTCTTCATTGAAAACGCACGCACGCACACATACAAGTACGTAAAACTCAGGGAGTTGTGGCCCTGGGAAATGACGGTAATAATGTGTCATAGTTAATATATAAACACAATTCATGTCCTTGAAACCACTAGTACAAAATATCAAAACCCCCTAATGTCACACAAATACGATGCCCAACATTCCCGCACATCATTGATTTCTTGTTCAGTGAATGCGTCTTGAATGTCAAGTTCCTACAAGATGAGTAACCCCATTGTAAGACTACTAGACGAGAACATATTTATAAATGATGATTAGAACAATTGATTTTTACCCTTTTGCCTTTTACCTTTCCAATCAATGGCGAATATGGGTAAAGTGACTTTTTTGTAATTATTTAAAAAAAATGCAAAAAAAAACCCTAATGCCTATAAAAAAATCAATTAACTGAGAGGTAGCCATTAATTAGAAAAATGAGAAGTCGAAAATCAAATTGCTATTAATAAAAGTTAATCAAATTTTCCGAAATAGAAGTAAAAACGTTTAGAAATTATAAAACAACACTATTTTTTCCCTATATAATATAAATTAGGGCCATCCTAAAATCACACAGCATATTTTGAAATTACTAAGACGCTAATATGGTAGTTTTAATGTTTGGCGTCATATTGGGCTATTTTTTGAGCTAGTAATTACTCTATTCATAGAAAAAAAACATAATGCTCATAGTTTGAAATTTCGCATTGTTTTACTCCGATTTAGGCCTTTTTTAAGGTTATTCTCATGGTAAGATGGATACATTAGACCCCCCACAAAGTCTTTAAGGTCATTCTTTAAATTCTAGACTAGCGGAAATCCCATCAGTCGATTTTCATTTTTGACCAAAAATATAGTGATCCAACATTCTTTGCTATTAATAATAACTGTTAGTTTATAACTTTATACCTTAAGATTTTCAAATTGTTCAAAAGCGAAACTTACAAATTCACTTTTCACCTCTAATACTTGCATAACAAGAGAGTTTTGTTATCATAAAAATGGAATTAAACTCGGCATAAATTATTTTTTTCCGATGATCTAGCTGTTTAAAATAATAGTAAATACTGATGAGTAAAAAGTGGACTATTTAATTATTTTTCGCTAAAAATGAAGCCTGTTTGCGGGATTTCGATCACACGAGCTGGTGAGATATATTCTCCCTCTCTACATGTGTGTGTGTTTGTATATACATAGTAGTATTATAAAAGACTGGTATATAAAATTGTATTACCCCCATCCACGAATTGATATCACCCGCATAGATGATGGCAAACATTTGTCTCATGACATAGTACCCGCATTCATAATCTCCCATTTGCATTCGGGACTGCATATAAATATTGAAGTCATTCTAACCCGTATAAAAGCACATACTACAATGGAGAATAATTACGTCCAATAAGAGCACTTTGAAGTAAATGAAAATGCATAAAAATCACACAAATGTATGTGTATGTGCACGTGTGTGCACTAAAAGAACCTTTCTTTTAGTTGTTCACTTGTTCATTTGCTTACTTTCCTGCATCTTAAAATCACTTTGCATACTTATGATGTGAATTTTTATCCTAATTGTTATCGGTTAGATATAAAAGAAATGTCATACATACCACGAAAATAACACACCCTCTCACACTTCGGGAATTATATATAGAGCTTTTAGGAGTAGACGAATTCATGAATAGATGGATTTGCTTCGGTTGACCTAAAATGACGTCCGGTCCCTAATAGTTGGGATTTTGTCTAGATCTCTATTGTATTGGAATTAGGGGGTGTTTGGAAGTGATTCTGCTTCTGCTTCTTTTTTAAAGCAGAAGCAGAATCAGTTCTCATAAGCTGGTCTCCCCCGGCTTCTAAAAGAACTGCTTCTAGGAATAAATTAGAACACCAGAAGTACTTCTCCACTTTCACCCAAACACTTCAACTTCTGCTCCCTGAAGGAGCAGAAGCAGTTTTAGGAATCAGATCCAAACACCCCCTTGGTCTCGATCCACAATGTCAATTATTTTAAAGTTGGGATCCCGACAGTGTGATTATACATATACACACACACAACTTTTAATTTTAATTTTCTAACTCTAAATAGAGTGGGAAATGACTTTAGATCCCGGATATTCTGAACCCGATAATCATAACCCCAACATCCTGATCCCAACTAGTAGGATTTTTTCCTAATCCTGATCAGATCATGTCATGATATGATCATGATTGTAATATTTTTTATAAACGATTAAGTAGTAGTGCACATAGTTTATAATTATTGGTCATAAATGCTTCTCAATAAAGGTGTGTGTGGAGCTTTTGGATTTCCAATGATAAAGTATTCCTCTGTCTCCTAATTGAGTTCTTATATTGACTTTAGCAGTAACATTTTGTACAACATGCATATACATACAATTTATATCCATTGGCCATAAATGATTCATAATAAGGGTTCCTAAGAATTTTGGGTTTCAAACCATATGTCATCACTCCATCTGGCCCCTAATTAGCTTCTAGCTTTCATTTAGAGTAAAAGTTTGTTAAATTCAATCGTTGATCATTTCAAAATTATAATACCTCGGTCTCTAAATTAATAATGCATAATTTAGTGTTAGAAATTACTTGTTACAATTTACATATTCAAAAACTATATTTAAAGTTCTAAAATCAAATTTGAATATAAAAAAGTCTGTATATAAAATCTGTCTATATACAAAGCAGAGTGGAAAGTTTGGCAATTTTCCCGCTCAAAAATGTCACTATCATGGTCAAAAGTCAATCCAACCCTAATTGATGGTGTATTGTACCGGAAGTTAATACAAGGTTGAGCGGCAGTATAATATTCAAGACTGTGATGGGATGTCTTTCAATTAAATGGACCGTCCTTTGATTTTAAAATGCTGTTGGGTTTTAATCTATAGGAAATAGTCCAACTAGGATTGAGTAGAAAATACTCCGTATATCACTAAATGGGGCAGTTGTCTTACATTGGTTGGGTTAGGTTAAAAGGTCTGATTTTTTGGGTTAATGATATTTTTAAAAAGTCTGATGAGTGGAATGTTTGGTGGAGTCAGACGTAACTTATGGGGCAATTACTGATTTTGTGAAATTTTATCGAAATGTTATAATTATATTACTCCGTATTGATTATTAATCATTCAAAAGTAAGCCTTTTAACTCAATCATTCAAAATTACATTTATATGATTGATTTCAGAGACAACCATTTCCGATCATGACAGCTTATGTCATAATTATATATAAGAGTCAAGGTTAATATTATTACGTCAAAATTCTATTATAAATCATTAGAAAATATGTTTTTAAACTTAATGATTCAAAAATACATTTATATTATTGATTTCAGAGATTATAATTATCGATCATAACCTCTTATGTCATGACTATAAATAAGAGTAAAGGTCAATATAATGTTGCATTTAGAAATCATAACAGTTTGAAAATAATGATTTGTAATTAAAATGGCAAACAAATCAATCATACTACAATGTTTATTTTTGCGTTCTTTCAAAACATTGTGAACATTAACTATTACCCTTTCTAAATATAACTTTTCTTATCCTTCGGGGAACGCTTAGCGTTTTGTCCGCCATACTGAGAAGAAGTTGGTGCCTTATATGAGAATTAGGCGGGTTGGAAATTTTATTGGAAAATTTATAAGATATGATGATAATCCGAATAGTGAGAAGTGGGTGCCTTATATGAGAATTAGGTTGAGCATGAACGTGGAAAAATCTTTGAAAAAGGGCACAAATCTTAAGAAAGAAGGAAGGAGCTATTGGGTAGACTTCAAATATAAAAAGTTGCTTAATTGGGCATTCAGATAAATTTTGCCCTTTGACCTATGCAGAAGATCTAGTTCTGGAAAAAAAATTGGGGTTCAACTTAGAGCGGGTAACAGGGTGAAGACCAGTCCAACAGGAGGAAGTAAATGGCCGGTGGAGGGTTCATCGAGCTCTGGCAGGGAGCGCAGGTACATGGGAGATTACAAGTCTGATGGTAGGATGGGACATGGGAGGAACATAGGAGTCTATCTCAGAATCAACGCAGAGCACAACTAAAAATGTGGAAGTGGAAACAAAGGAGGAAGCATCGGGGAAGCAAAAACGAAGACGGGTTTGGGACTCCAAGGGAGAGGACAAGATTGGGGAAGATAACACATGGCTATAGATGGGACAAAAAACGGGGAAGGGGCAGGCTTCGACCAGTAAGTCCACCGAAGTTGCTTCAGTCACAACCAGGGCGAGGAATTTGGGTGATCGTGCAGAGTGGCAGGATGGGAAAGAAGTATTTTTTATTAATTTTACTTTTTTCTGTCAAGACAGGTGTATTTGTTTTTGTTTTTGTTTTTTGTTTTCCTCTTCTGTAAGACTATGGATTTGGATGTGGGTGATAGAAGGATTGAGGTAATCGTCTTTGGCTCATTTGTGCCCATTAATGGATCAACGAGTTATATTGCTTCTTTTGAGGTGATTAACTTTAAGTCTGGTTCGCGGGATGACGGTTATCAGGAATCTTTTTGTCGGATTACCTACTATCTGAATGATGTGTTATCAACTTAAGCCTATTTCTTCCAAAAAAATATAACTTTTCTTACGTAATATATATATTACTCCATATTCTCTTTCCACACATTTACACATCATATGAATGCTTTGATGTTAACATTACTCCCTCCGTTCCAATTTGATGTTCCTGTTGCGTTTTACGATGCTTGACCGACAATAAAGCAAACGGATTTCTGTCCGCACTCAAATTATTTTTATAAAAAAATTACATGTTCAAAAACTATATTAAAATCTTTACAAAGTCACAAAAACCATAATCAAATATTCAAATTTGATAAAAATTTGATATATAAAGTAAGAGATTAAGAGTGATTTGTGTTGGCTAAGTGAATAGGAACTAGGAACATCAAATTGCGACAAAGGTAGTATATAATAAATGATACTATGTCTTTTTTATTTATTTTGTTTCGTACAATACACGGGTGAGAATCTAGTTATAAATTAAAAAGAAGGTTTCTTAAAAAAAGGAGTAAAGATACTGCAAAGTAGTAAATGTGAGAATAATTTATGGACGAAGGGTGTATTAATTACTATAAAAAGATATTCTTGAACATTTTGTTTTATATATATCATTGAAACAATAATTTGTCGTAGATGTTACAATTACACAACGGTAAATAATAATGGTAACATTGAATACCATAAAAATAAAAAATGAGAACTTAAATGGAGGCCAACATATCATAAGTGGGGACTTATTTGAGACTTCATTGGAAGAATACTTCAGATATCCCAATCAAATCCCTACTTAACGGAGATTTCTTTTGTAGTTAGTTATTCATCCTCCCACTTTGATTACACATTCATTAAAAACTGTTTTTCCTTTAAGTATTACGAATATTACGAATATTTCTTAGGCAGTTACCCAACAATTACTTCCCGCTTTCCCTTGGGATTTGGAAATTGGTCCTGTCTGGTTGACTGTTAATTTGTTAATAAAATTTTTGTCTAAAAAGTAAAAATACTCCGTAACATTTTCTTCAACGAGTAATCAATTATTACTACTGTTTAAAGATTTTTTATTCACTAAAAAAACCATCTCCATATTTTATTCTATGTGACGGGGTGTCCCAACTTGATTAGGATGAGAATCAGATTTATTATTAGTCTCTAATCGAGATCGGGCGAGACCGAAATGTCTGTCATCGGGATCATGATCATTCCAATCTCTCACCTATGTAACAGACTAGATTTACAGGCCTGCAGTTAGATTTGTTTAATCCGACAGCCCCATTTTATCCTAAAAACCCATAAAAAGCCTAATCGAACTCATGAGTCATAACAGCCTTGACCAACAGTAAACAAATATTGGGTTTTAAGTCACTTGCCTTGGGTATAACCCATTTTGGACTGATTTTCCTAGTGGGTTTTAGCACCTGATGTCCCTTCATGGCCCTAATAAAATGCAAGTAGTCATGTCACTTCTGTAACAGATTACATACAGTTGTAGTAATAATCAGCCAATTTAAGAGTACTAAAATAGTATCTTACATGTTCATGACATTCTTGATATTATTTTTCGGCTTATTCCCTAGAGAGCACAAGAAGACAATTGTATTCTGCCGAGGGCATAATACAAACAATTGCCAGTGCGTCCTGAAATGGAGAGTGATTTTTTAATAAGTCGTTTGGATATAAATAAATCGAATTTAACCATAAATTTGCACTTACGGGTAGAAATAAGGTGCAAGGTAGCACTCCTTGCCACCGTCCTTTAGCTGACCCTGTATGTATGTCTGGATCTCCTTGTGTCTGCTTCCTACATCTTGAATAAGTTGCAGGTCAAGAAATCCGTACAAATGTACATTTTTTCTTTGCACACATATTCCATGCAGATACCTATGATAAAAGCATAATTAGTGTATAGGTTTATTATCACAACTGGTATTCGCTTACTTATTCAGTCGTGCAATGTTGAGAACTTACATGATCCACACTTGTATAATTATTGCACTAAGCATTTGATTACCCAAACAAATCTCCATTATTTCTTCTGATCCGACATAAAGAGGCACATCTGCCGTGCCAGTGACCTCTTTTCTCAGGATGAGCTCTACAGGATGTGGCCCAAGATGTGTAGCCATTGAATGCAAACGCGAAAGTGGGTCTCGATGCTCATAGAGGGCATCATCTTGGTCAGAACTACCATCATCCTGCATAACACAAGTACAGTAATATTAGGCAAATAGCTTGAAAATTCATATAGAACTTAAACAGAAGAGTACAATTGTGTTTAAATTAATAGAACCTGGAACTCAAGAGCACCGACCAATCTTCGTGGCCATGAAATGAAGTGATTAAGTGCCTGGCCCACAGTGCGAACCTCCTCAGTGGTAATAGGAACCAATGCAGCTGCATCCAGAGCTTGTATTATCTCGACCCTCACAATATCTGCAGCTATAGTCTCATGGTGTATAGTAGGTCCCAATTCATGCACCTAGTTGAAATTTTAAAATATTTTATAGAAGCATCAAAACATTGCAAGTTAAGAGAGTTTAATATCAACAGAAGTAGTTTCTTTATTTAACATACCTTTCCCATTGCTACTAAGTGGAAAGGAGAATCAATGAAAAGCTGACACATTTCATCATCATCAGGCTCAGAGGCATCATCTGGGGCGTTGCTTCCCTCTACACTCACACTTGCAGGGGAACGACTATCTCGGACTTGTGTGTGCTGCTGCTGTAGTGGAGCAAACCCCATCTTTGCCAGCTCATCTTGGAGTTTTTGGGAGAATAATAGTGTCAACTCCTGTGTCACCTCCTGCCGCACCTCCCACTTGATGCGATCAACATCCTCCTGAGTAAAAACTGGAGGGTGTACTGGGGGCCCAAAGTACTCTCGAATACCAACACCCCATCCAGCAGCACGGACACGGCCCGGATGCTCCGATCGTCCAAGAGCAGCAGTTAAGATATCCTCACGGCCCTTGGGAACAAAGGTTCCTTGTGTGCTTTCCTCAACTAGGGAATCCTGCAAAACAAAAAAGTATTCAATACATATGAGTCTTTTAAAATTACTAGCCAGAATCAATCTTTGACTTACAATCTTCTGAGCCACCATGCGGCTCTCCTGTGTCGTATACTCCCCAGAGGGCCTTTTTCGTGCAGCCTTCCATTTTTCATGACGTGAAAGGAGGATAGGGGGAGGAGGATCAAGAGTTTCAGAAGGATCGGGCTGGGAGGGTTCCTCAGAGTTTTTCAATTTTCCAGCCATCATCTTTTCCTCAAGCAACTCATATCCACCCCGAGATAGTATGTGTGGGCAGACATTAAGTGCCTGAGTTTTCTTTGCCTTTTGTCTGCGTTCCTGTTATGCAACAAAACACACTGCATAGCACATTAAACAAGAAATTGCATATCAGTTAAAAAGGTATAAATGCTACTTACCAGAAAGGCAGGGTCTTGTCGGCTCAGGACAAACTGTCGCCAAGTGTCCTGGTCAATGAATGGGTACTCCTCACAAGGAGACTGGTCACATCGATTGCCAAATATGTACTGTGATGTGAGCTGTGTCTTAAATCCCCTCCACCTTGCACCCGCAAAAGAGATCCATCTCTTTCTCAGTCGAGGATCATTAGGGACGTCAAAGGTAAGCTGTATTTGGCATCAACAAGAGGGTTAGCCAATGTAATAGAAATATGATGAGTTTTCAGATAAAAACTTTGCGGTTTGAGCTGAAATTTTATAACCTGGATACTCTCCCATATCTGATTCTTGACACGCTCCTCTACGCTCTTCCAATTCGGTCTAAGTATACTAGCAAAACTCCTTCCTAGGAGGGCCACAAAACTCTTGAATTTATTTTTTTGTGGGCCTATTGGTTTCCCAGTTTTAGCATGAAAGTCAATAGGCAGTCTTATATGAGCTGCAATAGAATAAACACGACTAAGTACACCACAACAGCAACTAAGTTATTAGATAGAGTATGTACTTAAGTTATAGCCTTATAGGTGAAAAGTGAATTACCACTACGGTTGGAAATCAATTCCCTCAATCGGGTGCCATGCCTACCCTTTTTCTGGCGGGACTGACTCTTTGGTTTACACTGAGTAGGCGGAATCGGTTGATCATCCATTTCCCTGTTTACATATGAAACAGTCATAGATGGCAATATAGCAAACATACCAAATATAAGGATATATTTATAAATACTTTTTAACATATACACAGGATTTTTCATTTATATAAATGCACATACTTTTTTCATATAACTAGTCTGATAACTCAATAATGCATACATTCTGCATGTTCAAATAAGGAAAGTAATTGCATATTAGTACACATAATTATACATAATAAAATGCAACACATTTCTAGAAATGCATTGTGTTCTGATATCAAAGAAAACTGTAGATTTAGTCCCGTAACTTTTAGTTATATAACATTACTCTGCTACAGATATGTAACTTCCCTCCATTCCTCATCATCCACCTCCATTTTTTTATGATTTATACGATCAGAAGTGAGAACCGCTCTACTTGGTTGAATTTTCTTTTGAATGAGTTTGAGTTCCTTCTGTTGATTCTCCTCCAAAAATATCAACACCAAGGGCATCAGTCATCCCTATATGTGTTAGCTTCACCATCACTTTCACCCACAAGCCAATCATTAAAGAGGCAGTGATTTCTTTTAACTCTTTGTTGGAATTTCAAAAGCGTATATATGGACTAACTTTTACTCTGTGAGCTTTATTACCAACTTTCTAACAGTCTAAGAAAAAGAAAACAAAGAGCCCTTCCTATAAAACATTCTGAGGCACACCACAAGTCATGCCTTGACTGTTTGGGGCATAAGCCTCGTATCGTGCAAGAAGAGGGGTTAATCCTCAATATCCACACTGACTACCTCATCTAGAGGGTGTCTCATATCGCGCCTCTTAAACTCCTCTTTAGAGCATGTAAATATTCACTTCCTCCATCCCAAGATAAACTTCCCATTGCCTCTTTATATTGTCCCACAACAAACTCCTCATTTCCAAAAAGGCACGTTTTCCTTTAATAAATTTTCCCTTATCCCACCCCCCTTTTCAATAAAGTTATGAATTTATTGCTTCCTTAACATCATGCCAAAAGAAAACGAGATGTTTACATTAAGATAAATAGAATACTCTATACAAGAATTCAAGAAATACTCTAAATTGATAGCAAGCAAACATAAAAATCAACCAGAGTATCATTATTTAAGCACAACACACAATATATTTCATGGTCAAACCCTTAAATCCTAGATAAATGAGAAAGAGTGTATGCAAAAGCTATCATTCTGTCCTTAAAGGGATAGATATTAGAGGTGGTAGAGCTGCAATGAGGTAATGAGCAGTGGGTGTCTGCTGGTAGAGGTAGAGCTTGGCTTGTGATGAGGCTGACTAGCTGTTAGGGGATTTTGGAACAGGATGATTCTTTTGTTATAATTGTAATGCTTATTGTGTCGATTCAGGTTACCCGACCCCAAACTCTTCTGGGATTAAGGCTAGGATGATGTTGTTGTTGCTATTGTAACAATTATGTTTTGCCGCGTCTGCCAGATTTTGTTGCGTATTACATTTTTTAACCATTTGATTGATGCGAGTATTATTGCAGATTTTGGAAAATATTACACGGAGTAGAGAGAGGCTCTAACATCTCTCTAACCCTAATCAAGGTTTCTCCCTTGCGGCTTTGCCGTCACGTAGGGTTTTGTCTCCCTAGCGACTTTGACGTCGCGTAGGGTTTCTTTCCACCAATTGTTTGTGCGGCTCTTCTTCTCTAGGCTTCTGGAGTGCTTTTTAAGGAGGCGTGAGTGCGGCTGCAGCCTTTGGAAACGAATTCAAGGTTCAAGAAACGATAATCATGTCTTCTATGAACGATCTAGAACATTGTTGTCTCATTCCTGCAATTGAGGAGGAGGTCAAAGGGTTAGTCTCTGACGAATCAACATGGGTAGAGGGTGGTGGTGATAGTAGAGGTGGAACGGGCAATGAGAACACGATGAGTGGTGAAGGGTTGAGCAAGGGAGAAGACATATCGGCGGTCTGTCCCCCTCCTGAACCGCCGCCTTGGAGCGATCGAGGTGCTAGGGTTTGGAAAATTTATCGGTTATTTAATTTTTTATTGTTTTATTTTCGCGTTAAGTTTTATGTTGCTCTGTTTTTTGTTGATGTCTCTAGTTTTAGGTCTACAATTATAATTGACAATTCTGTTAGATATTATGTCGTTAAAAGGATCTATATGGATCTATGGCCAGTGATTACTGTATCACAGCCGCTTGGTGGTTAGCGATTCGTATTGCTCTTTCGGGGTGATCGTCTCTGAGTCTAACTTAGGGTTGAGTGCTAGTTGGTTAGGGATAGTTTTGATTTCATTGTAACGATCCGATTCCTAATGATATTAATATAAGTGGTTTGTTTTGATGATAAAAAAACCATTTGATTGATACAAAACGTTAACATATCAGTTAATGATGCAACTGATATAAAAAAGGATTCAGTTTTTTCAATTTAAAGTGACGATGGCATAAAAACGAAAGTATTCAACACAGACATTCAAAAGAGACATTCTTAGGTGACACACATTCACCTGGTGTGTCCATAACTTTTACATATTACAAAATTATGGAAACACATCATTTTATATGAATAGATTTAAGACTTATAATATTCCTCACTTGCACAGGTGATACTACGTATAAAATACAGAATAGTGAAATTTACCCCATATTTTGTTTTTATACAAGTTCAACTGGAAAATCAGATAGAAAGCTGCTAAAGTTTATAAATTCGATAATATTTTTATATCTACTAAATTTTCAAATGATATAATAACTCTTTCAGAATTAAGGAAACTGATTTCATGTTTAGATGTTATGTTCACTCTCAGAGAACCGATATAAAATGCATAGACTGACCCAGGGGGATTTGCTCTTGGTGTTCTGGTTTCTTTGCGACATTCATCAAACACCTCTTGGCCATTTTGTTCCGAGCTAACAGTCTGACCTTCGGGTTCGCCATATTCCCCTCTTAGTGGTGAAGAGGAGCCATCATTTCCAAGCATCCCAAACTGGTTAACTGAGTGACCATCTTTAACGGTATCCTTAATAAAGCGGGTAAGATACTCAGCAATAGTTTCAGTGTCTGCTGATGAACTGGTTTCCAAAACTTTCTCCTGGTTTTCTGGGACTGATGGCAAGACAGCAGTCTCTTCCTTCTTATTACGTTTCCTTTTTTGGAGTTTCCCCCGTGGAGACTTATATTTTCGCCCGGTCATGGCTGGCTGCTGTTAACCGTGGAGACAATAGAGAAGGAAGCTAGTTCGCTTATAAATGCAATTATTTGGGTGAACGATAATGGCAGGCTGTTGAACTGCAATTGAAGCAAAGGAGTCGGCTAGGTGATGAAGCGCTGAGGGCAACCAGGGAGGAAACCTAGAAAGAAGATGCTGTCGCAAACCCGATTCATGCTTTCCGTTCACAAAGTAGTGACTGACGGGTAAGGAAAGTCGGTAGTGTCGGTTAAAATAAGTGTTTGTAATAGAAAAAATAAAAAGTAGATTCTACGCGAAAACCGAGGAAGTAAAAGTTGATAGTGTTTGTTAAAATAAGTGTTTTTTCTTAAAAAAAAACAAAATCACTTTTTTTAATTGATTGCAAACAAGCCCTAAAAGGATTGAATTTTTCTTGATCTGGTGTGAAATTGTGAATCATTCTGATTTGGTCTCTGATTTGTATCTTCATGGTTATAACTTATAATTATAATTTTAATTATAAAAATATTTTAAATATAATTATACTTAACTTATTATTAAACACAAAAACAAATCTCTATCTAGGGCTTAACGCCGCCATCGATTTCTCTGCTATCGATTTTCCGAGGAGCGGCCGCCGGTAGGGGGGTTTGGGGGTTTTGGAGGGAAGGTTTTTGAACGTGTTGTAGGTCGCGACAACCTTCTACGGCGGCGGAGGACGAGCTTCGATTCTGCTTCGGCAATCGATTACGCAAGGGTGGAGGACGTGTTGCAGGTCGCGAGTTGCTTATCTCTCTTCGGCGGTTTCCGTTGCAGGAAGTCGGGTTGTGCGACACAAAGGGTTTTTTAAATGGAAGGCTTTGTTAATCAATATAAACAGATTGCTATTGGCAAGGACAAAGAAAAGCTGATTTGTTATGACGATGATGAAGGAGAGCAATCGGCGATCAAAGGAAAAGCTATCCTCCCGGTATTGGGCATGATTCTTACGGATCAGAAGATCAAATTCCAATTCTTCAAAGAATTAATGGCATCGTTATGGAGACCGTCAAATGTGTATCTATCAAATAAATTGGTGATAAGAGGTATATCTTTATTTTTTTACCATACTCTAGATTGAGGCATATTCTTGATGAAGGTCTGTGGTTATTTGAAAGAAATCTTTTACTTCTTAAAGAAATCAAAGCAAAGGATATTCCTTAACAGATTAGTCTTTATGAGGCTGATTTTTGGGTTCAAGTACATAACATTGCATATGGTTTTATGAATTTGGGTTCAGCTAGACGCATAGGCAATTATATTGGAAAGTTTGTTAGTTATGATGATCGTCGGTCTGATGAAAATGGGAGGGATATATGAGAATTAGAGTCCATATGGATGTTAGGAGACCTCTGAAAAAAGTAACTACTCTGAAAAAGGTGGGGTTTAGCCAATAGGTGGATTTTAAATATGAAAAACTCCCTAAGTTTTTCTTTGTGTGTAGAATTATTGAGCATTCTGATAAATTTTGCATGGTAGTGTATGAGGGAGAGAATATCACTTTTGGTAAAACTTATGGAGTAGATCTTAGAGTTGGGGGGTGAAGACTAGTCCGATAGGGGAATAAGTGATTGATTGAAGGATCCTTCAGTACTGATATGGGGCTTTACATGCGGGCAGGACTGGAAGGAAGCTACCACATGCACGGGAACTAATTTTATCAAGGAAGGGAATTTAGTGAGTCAAACGGAGGGGTCGGGAGAGCAGAAGCATTGAAGAACATGGGGGGAAAACATACAGGGAGACCCAACCGGTGAAGATATGGCACTGGATAGGCAAAAAATGGGGAGGAGGCGGACCTCAACCTATAGGTCCGCCATTTCGCTTAAGGATGCAGATAGTTCCGGCGGCGGACCTGTGAGGGTGCTTGTGAAGATGGAAAGGAATGTTTATTTTTCTGCATTTTTTATTGTCGCTTTCTTCAATCATACTATTTTTTGTTTTGTTGATATTGTTTTTTATTGTAAGATTCTTGCATTAGGATGATGTGAGTTTAGATACTTCAATCGTCTGTGATTCAGGTTTGCTCATTAATGGATCAACGAGTTATATTGCTTGTTTGAAGGTGATTAACTCCAAATCTGGTTTGAGCGCTGACGAGTGTCTGTGGTCTTTTACTCAGTTTACTCCCTTTCTGAACGATATTGCTTTGATTTCAATATAAGCCCCCCTCTTCAAAAAAACATATAATTATAATTAAAATCATAATTAAAATTAAAATTATAATTATAACATGTACAATTATTATTATACCTATTACACTAATTATAACTATAGCTATAATTATAAATGTAATTAAATTTTCTATTATATCTATTTATATAATTATAATTGTAATTATAATTATAAATTTATTTCGATAATTATAATTACTTATAATAATATAATAATAACAAAAACAATAATAACAACAATAAGAATAACAATAATAATAATAATAATAACAATAACAATAGTAGTAATACTAGTAGCAATACTAGTGGTAATAGTAATAGTAATAGTAGTAGTAATAGTAATAGTAGCAGTAACAGTAGAAGTACTGATAATAGTAATAGTAATAGTAATAGTAATAGTAACCGTAATAGCGAACATAATAGTAATGATAATGATAAAGGTAATAGTAATGGTAATGATGATGGTGATGGTGATGGTGATGGTGATGGTGATGTTAATGGTGATGGTCATGGTGATGGTGATGGTGATGCTGATGGTGATAATGATGGTTATGGTAATGGTGATAGTGATAGTGATGGTGATACCGATAATAATAACAAGAATAATAATAATAATTAATAATAATAATAATAAATATTATTATTACCATAATTATAATTATTACTCCCTCCGTCCCTAAATAAAAGACATATTTTCCTTCTTGGGTCGTCCTTATATAAAAGACACATTTTCCTTTTTTTTGCAAACAAACCAGTGCCAAACAGTGTCAAACAGTGTTTAAACAGTGTCAAAGAATGTGATCTTTATTAAAAAATGTGTGAAAAAGCAAATGTACTCTTTATATAGGGACGGAGGGAGTATTATAATAAAAGGGATAAATCATATCTGAACTTTTCTGATCAAATCTGAATGTTTAGATCTCGTCTGATTTGATATGAATCTTTCTGATTTGATCTAAATGCTTCTGATCTGTTCTGATCTGTTCTGTTCTGAATTTTTCTTATCTGATCTAATTTGAATAAAATATGAATAAGCAATAAGTAATAAGAATAAGACGAACAGAACATCTTCTTAGGTTCGGAATTTAGATATTGAAAATTAGAGAACTTACTTAAAAAATCAATGAGTCTCAGGGTGACATCCTAGGTTACATCCTCTTTATTTGTCATTCTCGTACAAATACTTTCGACAAATTATCGATGTGAACAAAATTATATTTGTCAATTGGTTTACTTTATTGCAGATCTGTTAGGTTGGTTGCATGTAAACCAACGTCGGTGTACGCATACATTAGTTGTTAATTGTCTAGGTAACAAATAAATGTCTGTAAATATACAAAAAATTTTGTCTAATGTACACACCTTCTGTTTTGGTGCAATCTAACCCTCACTTTTTTATAATATTTTTTTGCCTCTGTACACAGACACTAAAACAAAACCAGTGTCGGCACGCATTCATTTTTGTCTATGGAGAAAATTTATACTACGTATAATGCTAATAGTTTTTTTAGTTTCATCTTTCATTACAGACAATACTCATCATTATTTAGCATGGTACACCGTACATACACTATTTATATACCGATAAAAATTCCGGTGGCTCTAAATTTCCGATGACTTTCCGGCGAATTTCCGATCATTTTCAAACAACAATTTTTCGGTGAAAATGATGGTGGAGATGACGATGGTGAATAAAACGTGTGGAAAAAAAAGTAAAGAAAAAGAAGACAAAGATGATGATGACGAAGAAGAAAGAAAGAAACAAAGAAAGAAGAAGACAAAGAGGGAAAGGGAGGGTGTGTGAATGACTGAAGAGGGGAGGAGGGAGAGAGAGAAAATGGGGAAGTAGGAAAGTAAAAAATGGGGGGTTATATAGAGAGCCCGTTTGGTAGCACGAAAATCGGCTGTTTTGGCTGATTCTGCTGAAATTTATGAAGTTCTGGTTGAAGTGGCTGCATTGGCTGATTCTGCTGATATAAGAAAAAGAAATATTAAATATATTTTATTAATAAAATAAAGAAAAAATATATCTAAAAATAGCTAAAATGTTCATCTACGGTAACTTCAGCCAATACAGCCAGAAAAGCAACTACAATCTTACTTTTTCTACTTATTACACAATTCAGCACGCAAAAGCAAAAGTTACGTGTTTGGTGAAAAAGTTGGCTGATAAGCGGAAAAACTGTGTTGCCAAAACGGCCTGAGTGTACATGTGGGTGTATCCAGGGTGTACGTTAAGCAAATTTCTAATTGTCAATTGGTACTCCATATATGGCACCGGTGTCATATATGGAGTACCAATTAGCAATTACTACACGGTGCAATATGGATGTAGGTTTTGAATATAAATCTAATACCAATATACTTCCTTCTTTAATTGTTGCAACATTGGGATTTTTGTAATATTCACACATTATTTTGACCGCCATTTTCTACTAATATAATTAATCAAACTATTAGATACTTTATTTCCGTTGTAACAAAAAAAACTACTCCGTATTAGATAGAGAATATTACCCGAAATAGGACTAAAAAGGTTTGAAAATTTCAAAATATGAATGTCATATTTTTATTCCTAAAATAGGACTAATTACTGTCATGTTTTTGCAGTACCAGACTTCAAACATGGCAGTATTTTCCAAACTTGACAGTAATTACTCCTATTTTAGAATAAAAAACATGACAGTCCTATTTTGGAATTTTCAATCTGTTTTAGTCCTATTTCGGGAACTTTCTCTATTAGATACTCCCTTGAGTCCCTTTATTCTTTATTAGTTGTCTCGCATTCCTTTTTGGGACGTTTTTAATTATTGGTCTCTCTTTACCTTTTTGGTAAGTTTTTTTCATCAAAATACCTTTATATCCACACTTTTATCACTATTACCCCTTTCTCTTTCCTACTTTTCTTTATTTACCCACAACCCACCACACCTTTTACATTACCCCTATTATTTTCCTCTTAAAACTCGTGCCAATGCCTAAGAGGACATATAATAAAGAACGGAGGGAGTATAAAATGTTACTCCGTATTAAATTTTTATTAATGTGA